GTCAGGCCTCTGCTATATCATATTCTTTGGTGGGAGTGCAGATGAAGCAAACGTATGCTTGCTATAGCAAACACCTTAGACGAAATAGGGTGAATACATCTCATTACACTGATTTATTGTTAGTCTCGAAACTTACGAATCTAAAAATTTTTTGTTCTTAATTTATATACTCAAGGATAGAGAGGGTTTTGAGTCATCTGCAAAAAGGAGGCGACTCAATTAGTCTTTCTTGAATTGGTTCTAATAATAGTCACTTATCTGTACTTTTAGCCCACTCTTTCTCTCTCACATGAAGACAAAAAATGGCCCATTAACCTAACCAGACGTGTGTCCGACATTGCGCAATCGGAGTGATGGTTATAACTTAAATGTAGAAAGGAGAGATAGTGATCATCAAACCTTGATGGCTGAGAACAGACGTTACTTTTGCTGTCCTAATTACTTTGAGCCATAACTGCTGGTTTCGTGCATAGGCAAACACATATATAACCATATACATTCAGAGACAGACACACTCGCATGTTTCGAGGTTGACATATGGCTGGGAATAACCAAATCAATTTACACCTTATCAAAGAGGCCATATATATACTATAATGCTACTTTTTAGGGATTTGCCGGGTAGTTTTATTGTCTCGTTATCTTGAAGTTGGTTGTAAGGATGATACCTTACTCCGATGATATTCGTCATACGACGGACAAAAGCCTTGCACGTTTTCACCGGAATCGAAGGATATTACCTCGGAAACAGCATCAACATGAATGTTCCAGTAAAGCCAATCGACAGCTGGTCGAGAGGAATCGGCCATCGTCTTCTAGTGGAATCAACCTTCGAACACTTACTTGAAATGGAAGCAAGCTCAACAATTATGAAACAGTAGATTTTTCGAAACCCAACGTTTCTTCTCTATAGATACATTAAACGATAGTGCGAATATTTCCATTGAGAGAACAGATTATTAACTTGTCCTAAGTTTCTACCCATGTCTGTTCCATAATCTATGCCACTTAGAACCCTTCCGTCTGCATCTTGCCCCATTCCTAAAGCGCTCTATCTAAGGTCACTCCTAAGAGACATTTTGAACAATATACATGTATATAAAGCTCAATAAAATTTAGACTAAACACCACAAAAAACGTGTTATATTCTTCTTATATGCATAAATGTCTATATACAATTTAATATGAGTTGTATTGACCCTATTTCGTTTAAGATGACGTAGGACTGGTAGTTGATTTTTCCGACAATTATATGAGTAGAGCTGACGTTTACATTGAATTTGCATAGCCTTGCTTTTCCAAAAAATGTTCTCTTCCAGAGGGGACCTCGCATAGATCTTATAATCACCCCAAGCGGGAGTCGAATTATGACAGTGCAGCGTGTAAGCTTGACACGTTAACCGCTACGCCACATTGCCTCGAGTGCCCTTGGGTTACAGGGTAGATGTGAATTTCAAGGAATGTCAGGCATTTTCCATATCACATTCTGTTTTGATTTAAACCAAACTAAGAACGAAGATTAAAGTAGCTTAAGTAGAATTTCACCCTAAAGCCTCCTTAAAAGGGGCCTTTGAAGAATCGCAACAGTTGAAATCTTTTCATATATAAAATCAGAAGATGTTCTTTTTACATTATAAATCATACATTATAACTTTTGTGATACCCCCGTTGGAAGCAGGTAAGAATGAAAAGCTAAATCAGTTTATAAGATCATTATAAATATTCTACAAAAGCAAAGATTGTTCAAGCATATAACTGGAGATCAAGGATTGATGTTTGCGTGAGTTCTCGAAAATAAATTAAAGTAGGTGGGAACTATCTCTTCAAATGTATGTGTGATTCCTTCACAAGATAACAGGCCACTCAACACTAAGACCATCTGGATAAGGTTTCTGGCTAGTTGTAACTTGGTGAGCTGGAAGGATCTCGTGCCTGTACATTTTTTGCATACAAGTTTTGTGAATGTATAGCTTGTGGAGAACCTGTCGATGAAGAATTCCCGGAAGAGGTACTCTTTATTGACTTTTCTAGCGTACTTCCTCTTGATATTTCCGGTTGTAGAATATTGATGCCTCTAGAAGAATTATCCAGTGTAGAGAATCCTTGCTGCATCAGTGCGGCATCCGAGACAAAATCCAAACTTGTGTCATAGGACGAGGAAGCAGATCTATGGGGAGAGATTTTATCAAAACTATCCACTTCACTCGGAGTACACTGCTCAGCGTTTATAGATAATTCGGTGACTTGGGTTCTGCGATATTCGTTTTCCGTATTTCCATTGCTAAGTGTCGTAAGGGAGGCTGATATTTCACATGTAGTAGGTATGCCATCAGAAGTAAAAACAGGCAAAATAGAATTAAGGACACCAGGCTGACCGTTTTCATTTACTTTAGCAGGAGATATGAGCACACAAGCGGGCAACTCACCTGCCTTCACATTATTTGTTTTATACTCATCAGGAATAGTTTTAGGAAAATCTTGAAATTCTTCCAAACGAAGAGGCGTCACGTGTGACTGAGTCTGAATATCATTCATCTGATTTTCAGGGGACGGAGGTGAGGCATAACGAGAAGCAGCTGCCGCCGCCAATGCAGCAGAGGACAGAACCCGTAGAGCATCTTCCAAGTTCATTCCTGCCGCAACGGCCGCATTTGCAGCTATATTTGCAGCCTGAAATGATAAAGATCCCAAGTTTGAAGGCCCGCTAAGGGAGTTAAGTCCAATTGTGTTAGCAGGCGTATGTGAGCTGGCAGTCGAAGAGTGTTCCAGGAAATTATTCACATTTGCCATTCCTGTCTGTGAGGCAAGCCAATTAGCAGCCGGCAAGCCGTTAATTGGGAAAGTGCTCGGTAATGATTGGGCAGTTGGAGGAAATGTTTTCGTTGTAAATGAGGCCTCTCTAGACATGAATGGCATGTTTTTATCATTAGAACATTCCGCGATCTTGGTATCTGAATAGGCTTTTAGGTAACTGTTTATATAGTTAATATTTTGTGGGAAATCATGCGGCTCACAAATTGATGTAAAACCTGAGGCTTCTGGAACGAGTGTTTCGTCCACTTGTTCGCCATCATCATGAGCTAGAGTTAGGGGTGTAGACATTTGTGCTGATGAAGATGTGAAATAGCTATCTCTTGATTGGCTTTGATGTTGAGGGTGTGAATGTTGAATATGTTGGGACGTAATCACATGGCGAGCCAGATGGGAGGGTATAGAAATATGTTGTTGAAGATGTGGCTGCTGGAAGAAATGTGTACTGGAGCGTTGCACATTGTGAAAGTTTTGAAGTGTGTTTGAATTAAGCACGTTCCCTATATTAGGGGAGGAAATGGCTGGCATAGAGGCCGAAAGAACAGGCTGTAATGAGAGCTGTGATGCGGGATTAGAGAGGTTGGACAGGGTTGTGGGTGAGGGCAAGATTAGAGGAGGAGAATGTACACCACTGGGACTATTCACATCTTTCCCTGGATTCTGCTTTTTCCATTTGGTCCTCCGGTTCTGAAACCAAATTTTTACTTGAGTCTCGGTCAGATTTAATGCAAGAGCAAGATTTAAGCGCTCACAGACGGATAAATAACGCGTTGCCTTGAATTTGGCCTCCAAGGTAACCAATTGTTCGTAAGTGAAAGCAGTTCTAGCTCGACGAGGCTTGCCTGAACCATTATTAGATGATTCGATAGCCTGAGTACCATTCATGTATTCGGTCCCACATACCTGTACAAAATCGCTTTCACTTGTATCATCGTCGCTGGAATACTCATTCAATTGCTTATCTTCTGAGTCTGCCACATGCTGATAGTCATTTTCTCCCAGACTTGCTGTATCTTCTTCACTGTTACCATAATCCTTATTCAAGTAACCTTTGTTGTTGGTCTCTGTAATTCTTAGGTTGAATCGCTTTAATGAATTTGGGTCTCGCTTTTCTAGGCCAACTTCACTCATCATTACACTGGAATTGTCATGCAGACTTCTTTTAGAACCCTTATTGGATACTCCAATGAGTTGGCCATCTGACACCAGCTTCTGATCATGGCATGCGAAATCATTATTTTTCGAAAACAAGTTGGAATAGTTGTGGTCTGAAGGAACCAAATTCGTTTGGGCTAAAAAAATAAGATGAGTAAATAGGGGATTATGCAGAAATGATTCCATATTTAGACAAAGCAATAAATAAGCACAATCATTTTATTAATTTGCGGCACTAGAATGATCATCATTCGTTATTTTTAGTAGCTAATAGTGAATATCAATAGTGCTACAATACATTTTAGTTATCTCGACTTACTGGAGTTTACTACAAAGACAAATCATATGAATGGCATGAGCCCAAGACAGCTCTGTCTACCCAAGCTTTTGAGACTCAAGCATAGAAGGCAAAGATATATTTCGGACTTCAAAGTTATTTTATCGGTTAAATGATGGGCCTTCACCCTATTCTTGATATGGTAGTAAGAGGAAGTCTAATGACGTGGCGCAAGCTTCGGTCATTTTAAGAAATTGTACTAGCTGATTTATTAGGTTAAATAGCTAATTACATGGCATAAGGAGAGCTAATTAAAAAAGTAATACTTACCATCCAGGTAAATAGTTAATTCTGCTCGTAATTGTGATGACGGCAACTTCACTGGACATTTAAATACGTGTCGATTTTTCTTGATCTTTAAGCTAAGTCATAATCTCCATCCTATATAAGGATTCTAAGCAAAGGTTTTTTAAAGTTTATTTTAAAAGCGTATATTACGCTGATATATATTGGTGATGGTGTGGGTGTAGTTTCTAAAAAAACATATAAAAGTGCCTAGCTCAACGAATATTTTAGGTCTGCTAAGTTGCCCCATTTAGATATTTAATCCCTTATACTGGCTACATTAGGTTCCTATTGAGAGGGTTGTACATAATCTTTTTTTAGCGTCCCTTCTTCGGTCTGGCTATGTAAAAAGGACTTTAGACTCAGAGTACATTCCGCAAATATTTGAAGAAAACATTTAAGGTTATAAAACTGTAAGTAAAATAAAGATGGCTCGTGAGCATAAGCATAAAATAGCCCTGAAAAATTATCCACTAAGTAGTGTTAAGTAATTGCTCTTATCAGGTTACTTTGAATTTCTCAATTCTGGAAATTTTCAGCAACATAACTTCTATAATGCAAACAGTTAATTTGGAATTCAGCAATACCATTCAACCATATTAAAATCGCACGGGTCTAGTTTGGCACATTTAATACGAAAATTCTTGGCCATTGAATGTCAGTAATTCTTATCTTGGAAGAGACCATAAAATTCTACTCATTATAGGACAAAGGTTCTTACTGCAAAATACCCTAAGGTTAAATTATCGTAAAATATGGACGGACATATGAAGACCAAGATGGTCT